AATGATGTTACAGAATTCAAAGAATTCATTGCCTTCTTCGAATTTTCAAAAACTTAAAATAATAAAATATTATTTATTAAAATATTCTTTAAGAGTTTTAAATAAAAACAGATTTTCGTCTCTCCCGTGACCATGATTGCTGTAAAACATTCAAAACGTCAGGAACCAAAAATCAAAATAAATCTGCGAAAAAAACCCAAAAAGAGAGTTTTATTTAAAATGTCAAATATTCGCGTGAATCTAAGAAAGTAAATATTATTCTTTAAGCGTTTTAAACCTTAATAGGTACTTATATACAAATAGGTATGTAAACTATATATATGTAAACCTATTAGGTATATTGCATAGCAGCATCCGCGGCTTCGTCTGCGTTCAAGTTACAAAAAAACAAACGCTTCTTTCCCTTCCCTTTACAATAATGTATGAAGTCTGCCCGATTTGTTGACATTTATGATTACTGCTCCGCTCCTTTGGGTAATAGCTTCGATTAACAATATTACTGTTGATCAAAGGGATATATAGTCTTCCTCAATAAACGGGCTATCAGCTATCTAACGAAAAAAGAATTTTAAAATTGTATTAGTAGGTCCTGAGATTAGCGCGTACAAACAAACAAAATCTGCCTCTTTATAATATTACTATAGATAGAGCTTGTAGATAGATAAATTAGGTGTACATTAGACGAGGTAGGATCTTGTTTATAAAAAGTATCTTAGTATTTAGGTACTTGTGTTTGGGGAAGTTATTAATGTACCTATAATACCAACCCTATAAAAACGTAATTGTTACTTTTTATTTTGTTATTAGATTTTATTGAAACATTTTTATTATTACCTTCAAAAAGATAAATAGAATTTAAAATATTTTAGGGCTCCCGTAGAAAGGACGAGGTGGCCCAATTCAGTGGGCGGTGTACCATGCGGGTTGTTCCTAGTACTTCTCTAACAGCAGAGTGGACGGTGGGAGCGGCCTTTTGGTTTTGTTTATATAGTAAAATTTCGTTTACTTTATAAAGTAAATACATTTTTCTAAAAATAAAAAAGAATTATTTTTTAGATGTAAGAAATGATTTTTGACCGATGTAAAATATTTGCATTTGGTAGTAGATATTTAAAAATAAAATAAATATATTTTAATAATGAAAATAAATATAGTCCGATAAAATACGTTCTAGAGAGGAACAAAAAACTTCTTAATATAATTAGTACCTATACCTAGTATACTAGCGACTCAGCCTCGCTTCGCTGGGATTCGTCCCAAGTTACGTTTTAAGGTTTAGTAGGTAATATAGATTTTTCAGAGACGAGATATTTTCCCGCAATTAAAATTGTTCTACATGTTGACCCGGATGACCAGCTATCATCATACCGAATTTCATCAAAATCTGTTTAGTGGTTTTCTCGTGATATGTTCCCAGACAGATAGACAAAAAGTCTAAAAACTATAGATTCGGCCTCTGCCTATGTATCAAGATAGTAATGACTATTTCAATAAGATTTCCCAAAAAATATTAAATGTACAGATTCGACTCAGAGTTTTATTATATGTATAGATAGAAGTACCTATATGAATATTTTAGTCAGCGAGTTGGAGAAAATACACACCTACCTTCACAAATACATAAGTACCTAAGTTAAGTTCATGCACATGAATCACTGGGATGCGATATTGAGCTAAAGGATGATTAAGTGTTACGTGAAAGTGGCCAGATCTCGATAATTATTTCATTTAATTGTATTGATATCATAACCATCTATCTCATTATATATACCTACTACTAACGACTTGATAACCCATACAAACTTTCATCACCATTTTCACCCCCTTAATGGATGATTTCCGGGAAAAAATCTATCCTATCTCTTTACCAGGGTCTCAAACTATCTTCTTACTAAATTTCATCTAAATCGGATCAGTAGATCCAGAGATCACCCCCTACAACGTCATAAACTTACAAACTTTACCTCTTTATAATATTAGTATGGATTGAGTACATAAGTCAATATATTTATATTCATAATATGTATGTATATAAAGTTATACATATGTAGTGTATCAACTATCTAGTATCCATAACACGAGCCTCGTAGCTTACCATGGAACGAGATGGTGCTGCGTGTTAATGTTCCAACATTAAATTACAAAAAAATTAACTATTTAACTGCTGTAGATACCCTTGGCTCATGGAGTCCACTTCTTAAAAGACAAACACCTCGTATTATCGTCTCTACTGGTGACAGGAATTGTAAATTTCATATTGATTTGAAAGTTGGCCAGTACAATTTAAATGGTAATATAAAATTTAATGGTATATTTATTGTATAAATCGATATAATCCATGAAGCCAAAAAAATTGTTGTGTCGATCTTCATACCGATGATGAACCCGACTAAACTATTAGTCGATACTCAACAGAAAGTGTGCGGGGTCTGTAAGTCTTATAGCAAGTAGCTGCATCGGTCTGTTTGAGTTTTGTTTACTTAGCGTTGATAGATGTGTCTACAGTAAAGTAGCTCTTCTGGTTAATCCCACATGTATGACCATATATTCTACTTCCTGAGGATTTTTTAATACGTATAAGTTCGTTTTGCAAACAAAAATTGTATCTTAATCACTGTTTTTACCTTTAAGTGCAATAAAGAATAGTAATAAGTTTGTTTTTCACTTTTTTAGTATACAATTACTATACTTACCAAGCCACTACTTGTAACAGTGTCGAAACATCGGGAACTCATAAAATATGTGAACAAATGATAAATATTTCGTTATGTATACTAATATTATAAAGAAAAAAAAATATTTTTTTGTTTGTGATGGATAAACTTAAAAACTACTGGACCAATTTAAAAAAAATATTAAACTACGGGCCCATTATCAAAGCTACATTATCAGCGAGTAACAGGGGCCACATTTTATATTCAAAAAATAATATAATATATACCTTATAATTCTTACAATAATTGTTATGTAATAGATATATGTACTCGTACTCGCAGATCTTAGAAATGTTAAATGCAAACACAAGTACCTACAAATGTTAGAGACAAATTAAAGTTAAATACGAAATTTAAAATTAGGCGGTTTATGTCGAATTCAGGAATGTAGAGATTTTTTGAAGGTATTTATTTTGGATCGAGATCCCACTGCAAGATTGCTACGTTCATGGCGTATTTAATCGAAAGCATTTTTTATATACAATAATAAATGGGACAATATGTTTTGACCAGGGTGCCTATTCAAATGTGCCCGATAGTATGTTTAATTAACTAAAAAATAGTTGACTTATTGGAATAAAAATCTTACAAATGACATATAATATTATATTCTTTCCTTCTTTTCTTTCCATTGCGGTTTTTTTTTACATAGGTAGAGGTATTTTATCACACACAGAATAAAATTAGCTTTAATTTGATATATAAATGATGAATATACGCCACGAAAGTATAAATGTAACAAAAACATTTTTAATGACTCGCAACCACTTTTGCGGCCACTTTTACATAGGCAGACGTAGTTTATCAGGTACAGAAAAAAAATGCTTTAATTCGATATATAAATGATGAACATACGCGATGAACGTATAAACGTCCCAAATTATGACCCGCTTACACCTGGCTGCGAAGAGGTTGCAGCCAAATGCGCAACGGCAGCTATCATTTTTCAAGATCTCTACGTATAGTTCTGTGAAGTGGAGTATAATTCATTGTAATAACAAATGCATCGTTTTTATTCCAAAAAGTCAACTATTTTTTAGTTAATTAAACATACTAGCGGGCACATTTGAATAGGCACCCCGATCAAAACATATTGTCCCTTTTATTATTGTATACCTATAAAAAAATGATTTCGATTAAATACGCCATGAACGTAGCAATCTTGCAGTGGGATCTACTCGTAAGTCCATTTATATTAAGAAGTTCTAAACTCAGGAGATCGAGGTCTCTTACCGCATAATAAATAAATAATTTAAATTTGAAAACAACAAAATATCAAACTTAAATTTAGGTACCGTTTAAGTTTAATTGTTATACATTGTGACCCGGCCAATAGGAATCGTCAGCATATAAACATGATCTGCGGCATATTATTGTTACATTTTGTTAACCAAAAAAGTTATACAGTACTATGGCTATATCAATATGTTCGAAAACTCCTCGGAACTTTTGGTCTAAAACAAATAAATAAGAACTGGTTAATGTTACCTAGTATAGTATTATATGATCTGTGATGTTACCTTGTAAGAAAACTAAAAAAAATGAGAATTTAGAAATTCAGCTCTATATAAAAAGAGTTTATTGTACGTACAGATGTCTCAATTGTGAACAAAATAATGGTGTACATATAGTAAGTACAGGTAAGCGTTTTGTAAATAAACAATTTTGTATATTTTGAAAGAGCAATGTGGTTGAGTTTATGGATTGCGCTAACGTCAAAAGTATATTTACTGCCCAATTCTTGAAAGTGTTTTTTTCAAGTGTTTTAAAATAAAAAAAATATATAATATTTATAATATTTATAATATAAGTAAGTCCTCTTTAACTCTATCATTACTTTTCCGCGAATTTTCTATTTAATGTATATTTTTATTTTATATCTATAAATTATATTTTATATAAATAAATACGATAGTATTTAAAAAAATAAAGAGTTCCGCAACATTAATAAAAAAAACATATATTTTTATCTACGTTATATATTTTAAAATTTTACTTTCATCCAATTCTAAATCACGTAAAACTAAGAACAAAGTACATATAAATCGTTACCCCTAACATAAAACGGCGATATAATACAAGAGCGAGTCACTAAAGCCGGTCAATATACATGGATGAAAATAAACGTTATTCGGTTGGGCGGTGGGCGGTCCTGGGCGGTGAGGATGCCTGAGCGCGTCGACGACAGAAGTGATCGCCTCGCAGTTGTGTGCGCTCGCGCAACTTAACAGAAAACTGATTTATCGTGACCCATTGAAAAAATAATCGTCTGCCAAAGGATATGCTATGGAGGGCCAGGAGTGGCGCGACGACTGGCATCAGCCCCGTCAGATGGACGGTCAGTGTCACCAAAGTTATTAAGGTGTTAAGTGCGAATAGTGCTATTTTGAGTGATATAAAGTACTTGTAATTTGGCTCCAATTAGAATTATTTGTTCGACAATGGATTTATAGAGTCGTAACTTAGCTAACGGTAACATATTTTAAGTCGAGACTAGGTGTTTCGATGGGTCATTAAATTGTTTATTATTATATTCTTAACGTCAATATCAGGGTTAAATATGAAATTTGAAAATTTAGTTTGATAACAGATAAAATTAGACGGCTTATATTGATTCCGGGATTGTAGAGATTTTTATAAAGTTATTTATATTTATTGCAGCTGTAAAAAGTATTAAGTACGATTTAAAAGAACCAAAGTCTATATACGAATTACCGATCATAGCTTTTTTATATTTTTTTATTTATGATGTCGGCAACTTGAACTTTACAAAGGTGGAACTTTGGTTTTGTTACTCTGAGGATATCTCTACTAATTATATGTTAATTTCGTTTTTAACCATGGACGCAAAAATGACGGGGTGTTATAGGTTTGACGTGTCTGACGTCTGTGTGTTTGTCAGTCTGTGGCATCGTAGCTCCCGAACGGATTAACCGATTTTGATATTTTTTTTGTTTGAAAGGTGAATTAGTCGGGAGTGTTCTTAGCTATGTGTCATGATAATCTGTTCAAGATGGTCGGGGACTTATTAAAATTTTAATTTATAGTTGAGATTAAAAGATGTCGTCACGGCACTAGGAATAATCCTAATATTATCGAAAAGTGAAATTCAAATTGGGGTTTTCTCATACGAATAAGCCTGCAAAGGAGAGGACATAAAAAAACAATAAGAACGCTGTGCTTGTTTCAATAGAGGCTTTTTTTTTTAAATTGAATAATGAAACTTACATAAGAACATATTCGTTATTTACAGAATATAATGTAATAATTTTATTAAATAGTTTATATTTAATTAATAATAGTAATTTAATTAAAGGAATAATAGTATTTAAAATTATATAACGAACAATATAAATTAACCTTTAATAAATATAAGTCATGAGTAAATATGTAGAAAATAGCCAAGTGATTAGCACTGTTACGCTGATTCTGAACTACAATAAAATAAATAGGTATCTGTACGTAAATTCTGCATGCTGATTTTCATTTTTTTATATATTTGACCTTATGCAAGTTGCTTATAAAAATTAACTTTATACTTTTTCTATATAGTTAGTAATTATAATTAAAATTTTGAGTGTAATCCTAATTTCTACGTGAAATAATATTATTATAAGTACGTAATAATTACCCGGGGATACACAGTAAATAGTAGTAAGTCATGGATATTTCACAAATAATAATGGCTTATAACTAAAAAATGAATGTTAATTTTAAAATCACTTTAATACAATTATTGCTACTTTAGGGGTAAATAAACTTTGTTTTCAAATTAATACACATAAAAAATGTAGAACTCAATTGAGTACCTCCTTCTTTTTAAAGTTGGCAAAATTAATAAAAAGCAGAAATTCACAATAATATCTTTCTTTAATATTATGCATACACAACGGAATAACGGGTTGTAGGTTGAATTTAAATTAGCTGATAATATATACCGCAGAGGTAGAAGAGATTGAGCAATTTCTATTATACCAAAAACGAAGTTCCCGCAGGTAATTAGTATGAAATAAATTTCACTAGGTACGCAGTCACTTAATCTTAATAACATTACATTACATTTTAAATAAAACTCGGTATCTTTTCGGATTTTTTCGCGAATTTATTTTAATTTTTTGGTTCCCGACGTTTGGATGCTTTATAGTAACTATGGTCACAGGTGAGACTAAGTTTTTAGACGTCTCGAAAGTCATTATAATATACTTGTTACAGAAACTGACCCACAAAATTATAAATTGGTATTCAAAATTACACAAATCTAAGAAAGTATTAACATCGATTACATAATTAAATTGGCATAATATCGAGAGTTAATTTCGATGTGTATCAAGCAACAAGTAAATTTCACAATGCGGAACTTCAAACAATTCCGATCATTTTCTGCGGGGTATCTTAACGGTTGCACATCGCGTACATTGTGCATTCATCTATCTTTCAGCGCGAGTACGCAAGCGCAGCCGTGCGCTGATTGACATGAATTCCATACTTTTTGTATAAAATATCGCAAAAAATACAATGTAGAAACTTTTTTGGCACATTAAATTTTGTGACATCGTTTATATATATATATATATATATATATATATATATATATATATATATATATATATAGATGAAAATTATTTGAAAAATGATAAATTGGAAACTATTAGGTATGCAGTATTTTTATAACATGTATTTTATATTTTCTTCGACTCGGTATGAAGAAAGTGGGTACATTCAAACTATTTTTTATATAAAAGCTGTAAATTATATGGTGATTCAGCTTATATTCAGTATCGTTGTCTTTCTATCGGTAGTTTAACGGATCGCGGGACGGGTTCATTCATCTATCTATCAACGGGTGTGCGCGAGCGCAACAGCGCGACGATTGACGCATGTTGAGCAAATCTATAGGTGTATTTCTTTAAACAAAATACAGCGAATAAATGCTTTTTATACTATAAAGTAATATTATATTATTAATTATTTTTAATTAAACCTATTATTTTTATATTTATAAAAACAGTGTTGATAAAATCATTTTTTATAGATATTGTTTATAAAAGTAATTTTAATACAATTGAAATGATTTACCCGTAAACTAAGTTTTTAATTTTGATATAAACGAAATTTATAACTTTAATAAAAAAAATATTTTGATGCACACTTGACAGTGTTTTAGGTATGCTTTGCCTTTTTACCATAATTCAAGGTAGGTTGGTGTAATAAAGAATAATATTAATAAACATAAAATTTAAATAGTGTACGTATACAAATAATTTATAGTAAAAGTTATTTGAATGAAATTCATAATGTGATTCAAATGTCATAATATTTTTAATAGAATTTTACTGAAAATGGCTCTTAATAAAGGTTTAAAGATTAATTAATAAGTAACAAATGAAAGGCTAAAGAGCTGACATACCATCATTAAATGATTGAAACAAAATATGGCACACAAATAGCTCGTCCTCAGATTGTGAACGATAAATCTTGCTATACATAACATGTCAATGCAGATTAATGGGTGGCGGGGTGGGCGGCATTTTTTCTGGTAATTAGGCGACGGACGAACGGGACTTGAGACTTCACTAATTGTTGCCATGAATATTTCATATTTTATTATTGTTTTAATATTTTTACTCTGTTTTCCGGTTTATTTCAAATATAATAACTATTTAATATGTATACCTATTTTAATATGGAAAACGTATGGTTATGAAAGGCATTGTTTTGCGTTTTTAGTATGAAGTAGTGAAAATGAAAAAAATACTGTAAAATAAAAGGGGAGTTTAATGCTAAAACAGAACACTCTACTTCTACATTAAATTAGTTTTAATTATTTGAAGCTCTTGCTATTATTGAATTGTCTTTTTCATTTCACACTTTTTTAACAAACACATTACCGTATATAAGTTGAGCTGATATATGTTTAATTGACATTATAATCTCAATGTATTAAAAAAGAGTGCGAGTTATACTTTTTATTTTAATTATATTTGGTACGATATGATATATCCATATTAAAATAAATGTATTTGTTCTTTTCTTTTTATATTCTAGTTTAAAATTACATTTAAAAACACTGTAATATATGTATCCATGGTAATTATAAAAACGGAAATGTTAACGCAAGCACAGAGCCACCCACGGCTCTACAATGACCAAGCGCATTTTTGCATTCAAAGCGTGTCAATTTACTAATGACATGAGACGCTATTTTTTATTTTATTTAAAAATGTAAAGTTTAGATCTTTTTTCATATTTTTTACGGCTGAACCATTTTTATGATTTGAGCCACTAGCTCGATATTTTGAATTACCCTTGTTGATTATAACATAGGAATATAAGAGACGTCGAAATAATTACTTTATTCCCTTCGCTGTATCCTAAAAAGAAAAATACATGAATACAGTTTAATAATTAAACAAAAAAAAACATTTTTTTATATTTTTGCAAATATAATTTATGTAACACAAATTTATTTTTGTTTTTGTTAATTTCTAAGCTAATATAGAAAAACTATAAGTGACTATAAGTGGCCATAAATCTCGCTGTTACACTATTAGAAGGGTTTGTTTCACATACGCTGTCGAATACACGTGTAACTAATAATGCCCTGCAAATGTGGATAGATAGTAAAATTCTATTTATATGCAGACTGTTTTGGAAAATAGTGATTTACTATATTTTTAAGTACATAAAATCTGAAAAGCACAATTTTTCTCTGTCAGAAAATAAGAATATTTAATACAAAATTTTATCTGTTGTGAGTTTCTTTTAAATTATTGAAACATGTAGGAGATTATTCTTTAAAATTAAAAAAATATATTAAGTAGGTTAATTGTTACTTAATATATTTTTGCTGGTATTGTTGTATTTGTATGTACCTAAATATTTATTTTTTTCCAATATAATTAATAGTTCCTTAGACTGTGTGTTTAGCGAAAGCTAATTTTTGACAAATAGGGGCAGCTGTTCGGAGGTTATTATAAAAAAATGACACATTGCAGACTCGTTCTGCACATGACTATATCTTATCAGTTAGTTCGTAAAATCGTTTACAACTTTTTTATATTGAAAAAGATAAAATGGATATCGTCATTAGCTAAATTCACATATTGAAAATATGTGGAAGGTAAAAATTAGAAATTAATGCATATAATTGTTTATACGAGTATTACCTATATTAATTTATACCAATTTATACTGATAAAATTGTAATGATTATTTGCATTAATTGTTAAAGAAGCACGAGCGTAGGTACCTACCACCTACTACAAATAGTAGAAAATCCACTGCGTGTAAACTGTTACGTACATATCTTTACTAATATTATATTTATGTGAAAGATTG